TATCCTCATATGTCCCTCTTATTATCTTGCTTATTGATTCTTTTGTGAAATTAAGGGCATACTGGCAGGCATATTTCAAAAAAGTAACAAGTAACTTCTGGCAGTGAAAAATACAGTAACAAATTAGAAACCCAAGATACAGGTTAAACAATGATTAGAATAGCTCAAGAGAAAACCAGTAAGTCTGGAGATAGTTTTAAATAAATGAATCAGGATCCAAAACAAAGAGACAAAGAGGTAGAAGACAGGAAAAAGAAAATAAAAGATATGGAGGACAATATGGGAGGATCCCAAAATACATCTCAGCAGATTTTGACAGGAGATAAAATGAAAGTTACACAACATTTAAAAAGATAATAGCCAAATAAAATATAAATGATTAGAGACATCTGTCCTCAGTTTTAGGAATCATGACTCCGAGAGAGAATAAATAAAAGAAATTATACCCAAGCTTATACAAGACAACCTGCAGAACATTGTAAACAAAATAGGGAAAGACAGAAAGGAGTTAAAAGTAGAGTATGAAGATTACCTACAAAGGAAAGACTAGTTGGGCAGTTAAAGCAACAACAGAAACCAATACACAATCACAGTAGAAGTGCTGAAGAACAAACAATTGTCAGACTAGATTTGCATACCCAGAAAAACTATCTTATAAGAACCAAGGCAAATAAACGAACAAAAAGCCTGAGAGCTTCCTACTGACAGATCTGTATTAAAAAAACTTCTGATCCCAGAAGAAAATCTGAGATACAGGAAGGAATGGAGAGCAGAGAAAAGGTAATCATATGCAAATCTAAGGAAAAATTGATGATACAAAACAGTTAATAATGTTTAAGTTGTGATGTCATAAAAAGAGAACTAAAGTACTGATATAATGGCCACATGTGCTGGGTGAGGTGGGAAGTTAAAACACTAAGTGCCTTATATTAATAGTTGAGTTAACTACTCATTTAAAGCTTTCTAGCATAACCACTAATAGAATAGCAATAGAGTATTTAACTTTAAAATTAGCAAAGGAAAAAAGTGAAATAGGGAAAAAACATCATCTAAAAGAAAATAACAGAGGAAGAAAAAAATAACAAATGAGGAAACAAATAATTAGAAGGATGATAAGTGCTACAAAAAAATATAAGATGCTATGAGAAAATACAGGAGACCTAAATTAAATTCTGGTAGGAATTAGTAAGAGATAGTGAGAGAGAGATGTGTGTGTATGTGTGTGTGTACCCAATTTAGGAGATATGGTGGAGGTTTTCCTAGAGAAGTGATGTTTAAAAGGAGACCAGAAAAACAAAAACAATAAATGAGTAAGAGTTATTTAGAAAAAAATGACGGTGGATAGGGAGTGGCTTATACAGAGAGGCAATAGCATGTGTGAATGTTCTGAAGCCAGAGTGTTTAACATATTCAAGAAACTTTGAAGAAGCTAGTATGAAGACAGGAAAAAGAGACACAGAATGAGGCTGAATAGGTAGGGAAGGGATGGATCTTAGTGAGTTCAGGATTTTAGACCTTTTTCTAAGATCAACGCTAACCCATGAAATGGTTTTAAGCAGATGAGTGGTATGCCTTGATTTGCAATTTTTAATTATCATTCCTTTCCTCTTTCCCTAAAGTCAGAGAAGGTTCGTTTGGAAAGGACATGAATCATCTAGGTGTATTATGTTCTTATTCTTCAGGTTTATTTAAATGTAGCATCTTCCCAAGCACGGAACATAACATTTTCTTCCATAGGTGTTTAGACTTGAAAAACAAAAGCTCATCACTGGACCTCATGGCAGAAAACTACACCAACAAGGCCAATGAAGTGTTCCCATCTCAGCCCACATTTGATCTTGTTTTGTGTAGGACTCATAAATTCTTCATGATTGTTACTATAATGATAAAGATCTTTAAGTTGCAAATTTCTTCCTTTGAACTTGCATTTTTCATCATAAATATGTCAGCTTCTTTTTTTCGTGTATCTATTAGGATGATATGGTTTAGTTTTTTTTTTTTGTAATGTGGGAAATCATAAAGGTTTTCAAATGTGGAATCATCTGTGCCTCCCTAGTCATTATTTATTGTTTTTTTATACTTCACTATATTCAATTTGCTAATATTTAGGATTTTTGCACCTAGATTTGTAAGACCAGTTTGCAACTTTTCTTTCTTTTGTTATCTTTGTCTGGTTTTGGTATCAAGATTATACCAATTATTTCTCTTTCCCATTCTTTAAGATAGTTTGTAAAGAAAGGAATTATCTGCTGCTTTAAGGTCATGCAAAATCTTATAAAACCTGTAAAGTCACTTGTGATTGATAATGTTTTAGATTTACAGGTCAGACTACCCGCAAGTATCCACATTATCAATGATTATATTATCAACTGGTTATCTATCTGAATAAAGTAACTCACAAAACAAACAATGGCTTAAATGAGTACTGTTAAATTACAGAGTGAGAATATGAAAAATGTATGCCACTAGCAAATAATAAACAAACAAAGGTAGAACTAACACTGCTACTGCTAATATGAGCACTTTGATTATAATATAAGGTAAGAACACTGAAATTAGGCCAAAAATTTAATTCTTAGGAAAACTATTTGAAATATGGATTTACACCCTCTATCATTACTAATTAAACTCTCCCAAAGTCTATATTGCATAATATGATACTACTGGTGAAGTCACTATGATTAATAAAACATCTAAAATTTATAACTTTATTTCAACCTTAAAAATGTTAATTTGTGGAAAGATTAGTATACATAAGATATACATACACATAGACACATGCGTGTGCACACAAATGCATCAAAGGGTATGCAACCAAGAAATCATTTTCCCAGTTCCATTTAAGAAATGTCTCATCCTTAGAAATATGCTTTCTTATATGGACATTTAAAACAAATTGGCATGCGAGTAGGCAAAGTTAGAGCCTATCCATCTATATACCACAGCAGAATGGCTTTATAGAAGAAAATCTGACTTTATTACTCTCTGCATAAAGCAATCTAGCAGCTTTCTGTGGCAGCTTTTCTGTGACTGAAAAGTCAAAGTCCTTAGTATTTTTTACATGGTTTTCTCACAATCTGGTCCCTGCCTAATTCTTTAGCCTCATCTATTACCATTCTCTTCCCTGCTCTCTATACTACAAGCCACACTAGGAAAAATCCCATCTTGAAGTAAGAACACTGAAATTATACATGACAAGAAGTTATCCCTTAAAATAAAAATCTTCAGGAAGACTACTTATAGTAGTATCTATCCACCACCATTAGTGTTTTCAACCTCAAGATGTTCACATATTTGTTCACTTTGCCTAGAATAACACAATTTTTAAAAAATTTTATTACTTGTTTTCGACATATACTTGGATCTGCATTACCACTTCAGCTCACGGAATCACAGAATGTAAGGACTGGAAATTTACTTTTAAAATGTCATCTAGTCCAACCACTCACTTGATGTTTTTGAATACCTCTAATGATAAGACAACAGAAAAATCATTTTCCAGTTCCATTTAAGAAATGTCTGATCCTTAGAAATATTCTTTCTTATAGGGACTTGAAATCTGTTTCCACCTAACTTCTTGTTAGTGGTCCTAATTCTACTCATTGGGTCATTCAGAGAAAATTCGGTCCTACTTTAGTGTAATAAGCATACAATTATTTTCAGATCACTATCATAGTACTTTTAAAGCCTCTCTTCTGTGGTGGCAAGGACCAGGAGAGACAGAGTAAGAAGAGACTTAGTGTTACCTTTTATAAATTCGTTATTTTGTATTTAACTTTCACATTGCCCTAATAAGCTTGTTATTATTATTGCCAAGTAACAAATGAGGAAATGAAAGCTCCAACTGGTAAAGTTGTTCCAGTAACTGAAGTAGCAGAGCTGGGATTTCTCCCACAGGTCTGTCATATACCAAAGCCAATGTTTTATTCTCTTTAGAACAATGAACTACCTCCCACAAATGAGAAGAGATCTAACAGAGTGTGAAACAGAAAAGCAAAACAGAACTCTAAGAATCCTATGCTTTCTAAGTTCCAAAATTCTATTGATGACATTTTTTCCTTAAGCCTTATATCACAGTCATCACTGACATTTCTTTCTCGATAACCTATCAATATAATTGTAATATTTCTCATATCTGTCCACATAAATAAACTGATACAACCTAAAATTAGGAAATCAAAAACAGAAAATTGTTTTCATTATTTCAGCCTCTCCTAATTTTAATCTGTCTTACAAACTGAAAAGATTATCTTCTTTAAACACTGACTAGAGTACTTGTCTTTAGAGCCCAAGCACAACACTGCCTTCTGCAGTCAAACGTAATGCTGATATTTTCTGGCTTCTAGGACTGACAATGCTATCCCTAACTTGTGTCAACAAAAGTTACTCATTTTCTCTTCTCCAGAGAACATTTACCATCCATCACAGGCACTTATTTTCCTCTGTGAGTCATGGCTCTTCCTTCAATCATCTATTAGATAACTCCAATGTAACTTTCCCTCATAATTCAGGCTTCTTATGAAAAATGTACCTCTATATAATTACGTTATTTCATTACATTTATCACATGTATTTACTTTTCTCTTTCCCCAGTTACATCATAAACAACTGAAGATAAATCTATTTCTCTTCTTCACCTAAATGCAAAAATCTGAACAGCAAATGCTTAATGTTCTCAGCTATACATTAAAATTTTTTTTTTATCATATACACCTCTTTACTTGTATTCTTTGCTTTTAAGTTGCTTGGTAGGATTCTCTCACCATACACCTTACTGTGAAAAGAGACTGAGAGCAACTCAAGCATCCTCTTTTATAAAAAAAAGTCAAATGTACTACAAAAAGCTCTAATTTAGCACTTCTTTCTAGTCCATGTTACACAGCCTAATTACATGTAATATTACTTCTAAAATAAACTTTACTATAAATATACGGTTAGATATATATACATATGAGTACTAAAACATAAAATCATACATCATGCACACACACAAATCTTACCTTGCTGAGTATTTTGTTCTTGCGTTCGGTTCACAGTGAGATCTAAGGGGCCTTCCTGCTCTTCCTGAAGGGAGTTTTCTGCTTGATTCATTTGGATACTTTTACATATTAGACTTGGTCCAATTGAACCATTTCTATTCTCTTGAATTTTACCACTTTTTGAAATATACTCAATTGCAAACTGACGTATCATCTTTTTCATTAATTCCTGAGCAACTAGGGGAATGTTAGGATCACAGTTCTGAGGAAGATCTAGGGAAGAAATAAATATAATATGCATTAAAATGAGAAATGCAAAAGACCAATATTTAAACTTAATTACAAATTAACGATTTCAGAGGTCTTTTAGTTCAGCCTCTAATTGCCAATGGTTTCTAGGACTTAGCAATAAAACCCTTATAGATTTAATTAGTATCATAATATAGCAACCCAAAACTTGACATATTTAATCATTTATTAAAAATAAACATTTTTGGTCCCAAACTAAAATACAGATAATCAGAGATGCAGAGAGGCTCATTTTCAGAATTTTAATTCAAATGTATTCTACTAGATATTAAAACACTTAGTATGTGAACACAAATTGTGTACATAAGTAACAGAGCAACTTTTAACTGTCCAAACTCTAATAAGTGTTTATTACCATTGAATTATTCAACTTTCTCAAAAGTGCATTTCATACACAGCCTCAATGTCATTATCAAGGATTTTGTGCTCAACTTTTATATTAAGGAATTTCAATCATAAAGAAAAAAGATAGAGAACGATACAAGGACACCGTCAACCAAAATTCAAGAACTATTAGTATTCTGCCACATTCACTTTTTTTTTCATTTGTTTTTGTTTACAAAACCAGTGAAAGTAAATTATAGAATTATGACATTTCATTTTGAAATATTTCAGCATGCATCCATAAAGATTCTCCTATAAAAACAGCAATATTATTATGAGGATCTTAATCAATCCTTGATCCCAAATGTGTTATCAGAACTATAATGAAGGTCAGCAATGACATACAATTCTGTTTAAAACATATACAAGAGGTAAAAACAACTGACTGATTATATGGTAAGAGATGTGGAATAAGCACAGACCACTTATAAACACAGTATATAATAGTGATAAAGAGTTCTGGTATTGCGGAAGGGAGGTGGATGTCTTTCTCACATAGACTTTTGGCCTCACCCCAATTTGTTTATTTACTCTGCTCCTTCAGAGGTCCAACACAGTAAGTTGGGAAACACAACAAAGCATACATGTGATTAGACTCCATACTCTGTTCCTCTTAGAAATAAGCCAGTTCTAGAGATACCAGCACTTTGCTCCTAAAATGCCTCAATTCTTACCAAGACAGATGACTGTTATGTGAACTGGCTTGCCCTGTTCCAGGGCTTTCTGAGACTGAAGGCTTAAATCTTCTTAGTTTTGGGTTCAGTATTAGCTAGAGCACTTATCTAACATAACTGAAGGCAAGTCCTCCAAATAGCAACTATCATTATAGACCCATGACTCAAAAATGCAAGATTTGAAAATATACTCTTTGGAGAAGAGTAGAAGCAATGAACTACCCCCACATCTAGGAGGAAAATGTGACCTAAGTTGACATGAATCTACCTATGGTCCTACAGAAGTATCAATACACTTGATCACAGGGTGCTGTTTAGGACCCTCTGGAGATGTTATGTAATAAATATCTCTTATTATACTACATCTTCCAAAGCAAAGAATTTTGAATTCTGAAAAAACATCTGACAGAAAGGACTGTGGTCCTATAAAAAAGGTCCTGCAAACAGCCAAATGAGTGAATTTGGAAGATATACCATATAAATCAAACTCAAGATGGCTGCAACAATAACTAATCCTTTCACTACAGCCAAGTGAGCAATTGAGCCAGAATATACAGCTAAGCCATTCTCAAGATTCATAGCTCAAATAGGGACTCTGTGGCATCTTACTACACTGATGGACAGAGACTGCAATGGGGCATGGGGTGGGGGGACTCGATAATAGGGGTGAATGTAATAACTACATTGTTTTTCTTGTGAAACCTTCATAAGACTGTATATCAATGATGCCTTAATAAAAAAAATAAAAAAAATAAAAATAAACTAATGACAGTAAATATCATCCAAAAAAAATTTCTAGCTCAGAAAAAATGTTCTGAGACAATCAATGTTCTTTTAAACTGCTAAATTTTGGGGATGATTTGTTAAATCCTAATAGATGATACAGATTTTGGTACTCGTTAGTGGGATGCTGCTGTTAATGAAAACCTACAATGCAGATGTGGCTTTAGAACCAGGAAATGGGCTTTGGTGTTAAAATAAGCCTAAAGTACCTTGAAGAGACTGTATTAGTGGCCTCATATTCCCTGATAAGGCTGCATGGAAAAAAGTTATAGATAAATGCAGTAAATGTTACTGGAAAGTTGAAAAAAGATCATACATATCATGTGGTGACAGGAAATTCACAACATGATTGTGTGCAGTAAAATGGAAGTAAAAATGTTCCTAATGAAATGGTGATATGCTTAGAGAAATTTCTAAGCAGTGTTAAAATGCCCTCTGATTTCTTTTTTGCTAATTAAGTGAGAAAAAAAGAGATATATAAAGGAAGGATTTTATAAGAATGAAAGAAACCAGAAAAATCATGATCGTTTCAGAAACTTTCAGTCTACACAGGCAGCAAATGAGGCTAAACTTGAGAAAGGTAGAAAGTAGACTGAATCAAGGAAAAAGTCAGGAAAATATCCTTCAGAAAGCTGGTGGTTTCTCTTCAACTTTGACTCTCTCAATACTGTGGGTCTGATATGGACTTTTAATTTTAATTGCTCTGTGTGTGGGGCAGAGGAAGGAAGGGTAGATGTCATTTATTAAACAAAAGAATTCTAGAATTACCCAAAAGCTTTCTAGAAAGTGTATATTCAAGAATATTGGCCCAAATGAACAGTCTAAACTCACGATTAATGGAACTAGAAAAAGAAGGACAAGTGAGGCCCAAAGTCAGTAGAAGGAGGAACATAATACAGATCAGAGTAGAAATAAATAAAATTAAGAAGAATAAACAACAGAAAGAATCAATGAAACCAGGAGCTGGTTCTTCAAGAAAATTAACAAAATTGATAAACCCTTAGCCAGACTTACTAAGAAAAAAAAACAATGTACACACATAAACAGAATCAGAAATGAGAAAGGAAAAGTCACTACAGACACCACAGACATACAAAGAATTATTAAACAATACTATGAAAAATAATATGCTAACAAATTGGATAACCTAGAAGAAATGGAAAACTTTCCAGAAAAATACAACTTTCCAAGACAGACCCAGGAAGAAACGGAAAATGTGAGCAGATCAATTACCAGCAATGAAACTGATTTGGTAATCAAAAAACTACCTAAGAACAAAACCCCTGGAACAGATGGCTTCATCACTGAATTTTATCAAACATTTAGAGAAGACCTAATATCCATCCTCCTTAAAGGTTTCCAAAAAGTAGAAGAGGAGAGAATATTATCAAACTCATTCTATGAGGCCAGCATCATTCTAATACTAAAACCAGGCAAAGACACCACAAAAAGGAAAATTACAGACCAATATTCCTGACGAACATAGATGCAAAAATACTCAACAAAATACTAGCAAACTGAACACAAAAATACATCAAAAAGATCATCCATCATGATCAAGTAGGGTTTATTGCAGGGATGCAAGGATGGTACAATATTCGAAAATCCATCAACATCATACACCACATCAACAAAAAGAAGGACAAAAATCACATCATCATCTCAATAGATACCAAAAAAGCATTTGACAAAATTTAACACCCATTCATGATAAAAACTCTCAACAAAATGGGTATAGAGAGCAAGTACCTCAACATAATAAAGGCCATATATGACAAACCCACAGTCAACATTATACTTAACAGCGAGAGGCTGAAAGCTTTTCCTTAAAGATCAGGAACAAGACAAGGATGCCCACTCTCCCCACTTTTATTCAACATAGTACTAGAGGTCCTAGCCATGGCAATCAGACAACACAAAGAAATAAAAGGCATCCAGATTGGTAAGGAAGAAGTTACACTGACACTATTTGCAGAAGACATGATATTGTACATAAAAAACCCTAAAGAATCCACTCCAAAACTATTAGAATAAGTGAATTTAGCAAAGTTGCAGGATGCAAAATTAATACACAGAAATCTGTTGTGTTCCTATGCACTAACAATGAACTACAAGAAAGAGAAATCAGGAAAATAATTCCATTTACTATCACATGAAAAAGAATAAAATATCTAGGAATAAACCTAACCAAGGAGGTGAAAGACCTATACCCTGAAAACTACAAGACACTTATGAGAGAAATTAAAAAAGACACCAGTGAAAGGAAATACATCCTATGTTCATGTATAGGAATAATTAATATTGTCAAAATGGCCATCCTGCGTAAAGCAATCTACAGATTCAGTGTAATCCCTATCAAAATACCGGCAGCATTCTTCAATGAACTGGAACAAATAGTTCTAAAATTCATATGGAACCACAAAAGACCCTGAATAGTCAAAGCAATCCTGAGAAGGAAGAATAGAGTATGGGGACTTCAAGCTCTGCAACAAAGCCACAGTAATCTAAACAATTTGGTACTGGCACAGAACAGAACCATGTATCACTGGAATAGAATAAAGAACCCTGATATTAATCCAAACATATACAGCTAATTAATATACAATAATAGATCCATGGCTATACAATGGGGTAATGACAGCCTCCTCTACAACTGGTGTTGGCAAAACTGGACAGCTACATGTAAGAGAATGAAACTGGAGTACGATCTAACTCCATACACAAAAGTAAACTCGAAATGGATCACAGACCTGAATGTAAGTCATGAAACCATAAAACTCTTAGGAGACAACATAGGCAAAAATCTCCTGAATATAAACATTAGCAACTTTTTCTTGAACACATCTCCTTGGGCAAGGGAAACAGAAGGAAAATGAACAAATGGGACTACATCACACTAAAAAGCTTTTGTACAGCAAAGGACCCCTACAGTATGGGAGAATATATTTGTAAATGAATATCTGACAAGGGGTTAACATCCAAAATATATAAAGAACTCACAATGCCTCAACAACAAAAAAGCAAATAACCTGATTAAAAAATGGGTGGAAGATGTGAACAGAGAATTCTCCAAAGAAGAAATTCAGATGGCCAACAGGGACATTAAAAGATGCTCCACAGGGA